GCTGATTATTTGGTCTTTCGTTAATCTTGCCATTATATCATTTGTTAGAAAATATTTTTATCAACATAAGCCCCCACCCCTTGACATAAAATAGAAAACTACTTGAAGAGAAAAAACCTTATATATTCAGAGAAAAATGAGCGAGGGTAAAATGCCTGAGAATAATTTTATGGTTGAGAATTGGACTAGCTTACCTGAGGGTTTAGTTTCAAACATCACTACTTACATTAATGGTTGTGAAGGGTGGCGAAGAATGAAACAATGTGATGCTTTAAGAGAATTACAGAGGAAATGGAAACCGTCTATTTACATTGAGCAAGTAGGAGAAGGTAAATATTATGTTGAGATTCGCAATAAATGTTTAAAAGGCAATAAAGCACTGTCATATGTGTTGAAACCACCAAAAGAATTATTAACATTAATGAAGTATGATGAAGAAATACAGATTGGAATAGAAGTTAGTTCGATAATATTTGCAACTGTCGTTCTTATGCATCAAGCAAACAGAATAAGATAACAAGTAGAGCGTCATTACAATTTTATATTGAAAAATAGTGGAAGACATATAACAGACTATGAAACGACACGAAACCATTACTATAGAACATATTACAGTTGAAATGAAACCTGAAACCCCCTAGCTCAAAACTACTTAAAGACAAATAATATAATATATTAAGAGACAAATGAACTATGATGAAATCAACAGTTATATTAATAAGAAATGCTATGATTGTTGCCACTTCAAAAAGGAAAACATGGAATTATACAAAATTAATTTACCTAATGGAATATTGAATAATATTATTAACTATTCAATGGATGAAGAAGATGTATGTAGAACTTGTAAAACTTGGAGAGATAATCAATATATAATCAATTGTGTGTTGAGAATAAGAAGAAATAATAGAAATGTAGAAGATGAGGTTTGAATATTTCTATGTGTTTATGAAATTCCGCCTTATGATTATGTTAAACAGTTTCTTAAAATTAGTAAGAAAAAGTATGAAATGATAGACCGCATATTATGGATGATGGGGTATCAAAGAAAAGAAGGAGAAGATGTTAAAGAAAATATCAAATTATTTATTGAAAGTGAAAAGTTTAATGTTAAAAATACAGTGAGAGATATTATTATTACTTTAAAATGATGTATGAAAGAAGTAAGATGTGTCAATTAAATATTATCCTGAACTGAAATTATAATCATACTACAATCATAACATTTATAAAGTTATATGTTATAATTATAGCAACCTTTTAACCTATAAACATTTCATTAAATGACAAACCAGAAGACCCACCCAAAAGCCAACCCATGAAACCACAGAAAGTCCTAACCTCTTTCAATCAATAAAGCTAAAAGTTGAAATCTGGAACGAAACAGGGGACCAAATCATCAATTCGTTACCACATTCATATCGTTATTTCTTGCCCCCAAAATCAGCCTTGAAAAGCGAATAAGATAGAACACGTGTTGAATTGTGAAATAAAAACAGAATAGGCAACAATCTACCCCCTACCCCCTGAAATCAGCATTTTCTACATTTTTGTTGGGGGGGGGGCACGATTCAACAGGGTGCCAACTCCAAGTACCAAAGCTTGCTGGTGCGATAGGCAGGGAATGAGAAATGGAATGACCCCCTATAAACCATCCATCCTGTGGTTTCCTTCATTCGGGAATCCCCACAGGTTCATTCCCACATTCCCTACCGATCTCGAGACAAAGCGCTTCCCTTGGTGGCTCCCAGCCATCCCCTTCTCTTTTTCTCGCTTTTTGGGTGTTTAGTGGTAGTTTCCATTTCACCCCATAGGGCAGCCAAACCCGTACTGTTGGTATGTCTGGGTTGAATCGCGTCCTTCCGGGGTTTCTTGGGTGGTGGGGATCCGAACACGGGCGGCCCAGTGCCGGCGGCCTCGCGAGGTCTACGACAAGGACATCCTGGTGCTCCGCAGCCAGCTGGGGGTGGGGGCGGCGGATGGGGCCGTGGTGTCCTTCAACATCGTCACGGATGCGCGAGGGGTGAAGGCGAGGGAGCGAGGAATCCAGCGAGGAGATTGGGAGGTTCCCCATTCCGGGGGAGAGTTGGGGGGTGGGGGGGGTTTTGCAGGTGTTCCCTTTTTTTGAGGGTTTGGATGTGGAGAACTAAAGGACATACACACCTGATTTTGGGGGCCCCATGTATATTTTGAGGCCCCTTTTTGACCATCAAAGTCACCCTTGTTTCAAGGGAAGCCACCAATCAACCAGCTTGTGGCTAAGCTCCGAAACGGAAGCAACAGAATGTCAAGGAGGGGTTCGGCTTGAAACAAACAAATGCCCGAAAAGTGAAGGCGAGGTTTGTAGAATGAAAAGAGACCGGTTTGGACGAAACGGTTTTTTTGTCGTCTGGTTTGGCGCCCTTTCGGAAAAGTAGACATGACTGGCAAATGAGTAAAACCATCTAGTGTCAACCTCAGATTAATCTAAATGAGCACCGGATTCAATTTTCAGGGGTGGTTCCCTTTCAGCCAGGAAATGACATCTATTTTGGAGGGGCTCCTCTGAGAAGGGTCCTCCTGATTTTCCGGGGTTAAAGGCACAGCCTTGGAGTTGCTGTATCGAGGATGAGGGGTGAAGGTCATTAAATCCATTTTGGGGTTCCAATTCCCAAAACAAGACCCGTTGGGTCAATGTCATCCGCAGAACCCCTTGTTGTGACATGGGGGTGTCCAATTTTGTGGATCTATTTGGAGTTGGTCATCACTTCTTTTCTTGTGGCTTTAAATGGACACCAACAAAGCGAGCCATATTCATATTGGGGATCCAAATCCAAAACGAAGGGAACCACACCCATTGAGATCCTGCTTTGGACCTGCAATTCCAACAGGACCCAGTGGCAGCTGGCCACGTCTTGGGGAACACCTTTTTGCCCCCCCTACCGAAGTTTTCCCCCTAATCGCCCCAGGGAAAAGTCTGAAATCGCTAGAACCCCCCCGCAGGTCACAAATTCTCCCCTGGCTTTCGGGGATCTCCTGATGGACGAAATCCTGCACCACTTCAATGGGAAACCATTCAAGAAGCCCGAGGCTGCGGCCGAAAGAAACTCAAGACACTGGTGGGGTTGGAGGTTCATCAACCCGTTTTTTCTTCTTTTTTTAAAATACAGATTTGACAATCACCGGTCAGCCCACCAAACTTTCAGGCGCCCCCTGGTTAATTTCTTCGGGATGGCTAGGTTGCCAGTTGTTTTTCTGTGAAACCAAGGGAGCCGCCTTTAATTAAAGTGACACGGCAGGGATGGGAATCCCACTTCAGAGTCTGGCAGCATTGTTTCAACTTACAGACTCCAACCAAGTCCGCATGGGCTCAAATCACACCCACTTGAAAAAGGACCGGGTTTTTCTTGGGCGAAGCAGGGCTTGTCCCGCACCCCAGTTTAGGTTTGTCCCGCAACCGGTTTAGCCCAGAAATTGAGCCCAGACATGACTCCCGCCAGTCGCTGGATGCATGTCTCCATGTTCCCTCTTTGGGTTATGTTCTTTTCCATCACTTTTTCGGGGCCTGCAAAAAACGGGCTTCCTTTTGGAAAGGAAAAACCACAAAAAAACCCTGACTCGTTGGCTTTGAGGCCACTCCCCCCCGACTTGACACCAAAGACCCCATGCCTTCGCTGCGCTCGTTTCGTGTCGCGAGGCGGCCAACGTGAAGGTTTGCCCCGAGGGCTTTCCACCGGGAAAGGAGCCCAAACCCAAGCCCAAAGGGACGCTCGGCGAGTCAACCAGTTTCAGACTTCTCTCCCACGCAGCGTGTTTTGGGTCTTTTTTGTTGAGCAACCCCTGAGTTTGTTTTTGCATAAGCACCCGGTGTCTTTGGTTTCGGGGTTTAACACCTAAAGTCTTTTCTGAAATTAATGCATGCCCAATGTTGTTGTCAGTTGAGCCTCGGACTGTTCCGAAGGGTTCCGAGAACCACTTCGGCTTCTTAGTTGTTTTGTCAAACCCACACCACAAAGAGGATCCACAAACGCGTTCGGGACCTAGAGAAGCTGCGGATGAAGACATGAGCCACAATCAACACCTGGGTAGATTAAGGGTAGGGACAGTTCTAGCGACAAACAGGTGCAGCCGCCCGTTTTGGTTCTTGCACGACATGACTTTGGGTAGTTGGCTTCAATACCAAGTTTTGATGAGAACTCGCGGGCGCAGGCTTTCTCTTCCTCTTTCCCTTTTGGGGCTTTGTTTGTTGGCGTCCTTTGTTTTTTCTTGTTCGAGCGGGCGCTCATTCTTAGAGCAGCTCGTAATTTGGGCGTTCTTGCCTCCAGCTGCTGTGTCGCATTAGGATTGGCACACAAATTGGCGTTCGACCCAAGGAAGGGCAAGGGCAAGGGCGACATGCTAGACAAAGGCTTCGGCAAGGGCAAGGGCAAGTTTGAGCAGCTGTGGCAAACAGCCGCCAACATGCTCAGTGAGTGGGGCTGGTATGGTGATGGATGGTGGGATGGCGGCTGGGACGATGGCTCCTGGTGGGGTGAAGACAATAGGTTTCACCCTTATTAGCCATGCCGAGTCAATGAGCAGCGTCCGCAGCGTTGCGTTCCAAAAGGCTTTTTGCGTGTGTGGCGCCTGCCCCGGTTTTCGATTTCATGCCGAACTGAGAGGGACACCTGGGTATTTGGAGGGTAGTAAAGGCAGTCACAGCCATAAATTCATTGTGACTCAAGTTCAGCATGGAACATGCTCCCAGGTTAAGTTCCCGCCTCATTTTTCGGCAAAGTCCGCCAGTGGGTGCTTCTCCATGGCACTTGCATGAGATCTGTTTCATACCAGATGGGCCTTGGGCACTTCCTGTTGGGGTTGGCTCAAAAGGGAGGCCAACAGGAAGCCCGAAGCCAATGGGGTTTTCCCATTTTTGACACACACCCACCCTTTCCTGAGAGCTGAACCATGTTCTCAGGGAGGAAGTCCATTTTCTTGGTGCGCCGCACTTGTGAAAACGCATCGGTCGGCTTGCCTTGGAGGTATCCACCTTGAGTTTGTCGCTGGCCTGCCCTTTGATCACAATCATATCTTATGCCTGGGCCTCGGAATGTGCATCTTGGATGGTTTCCTACACCCAGCATACCACCACTCTGTAGCCATCACACGAAGGGCACACAGTAGGGGGTTCGCTCACTACCCGCAGGTGCTCTATGGCCATACAAAACCTACACACCCCATTTTCCCTTGAAGAAAAATGGGGTTTCGGGGTGGACATCCTCTTGAACAGATTCAGCTGGGCGCGTTGCAATCTCTTTGGGTGGCATGCCAATTCATGGCCTACATCGAGGTACCTGGCTCGTCTTGGGGTTGGTACCCAGCCAGTTCATGGTTTGAAGGGACACCAAAAGGACACCCGTCGCTCCCTTTTTAGGGTCCCCCTTTCAGACATGCCCACCTCTCCAGCACATTTGCCGAGGACCAATGAGAGTATCAGCTGTAGATTGCTGAGAAGGGGGTGGAGCTTGCTCTGAAACCCTCGAGCCTGAAACTTGCCCCAACAGCCCGTGGCACCAATGCGGGTGCCATTTTCACCCTCAGTGATTTCAAGACTCGGCTTGCGGTTCGAGTCATTTTTCATTCAACAGGGTGATGTTTTTGGAGAAATCTGGGACTCCTCCGGTTTGGTTCATCTGGCGAGAGCTTTAGGAGTTGGATCCATCCTAAAGTTGTTGGTGGCGACATGTTTCCGCACCAAACTTCTGTCCACCAAAGGGTCCCTTACACAAAAAATGATTCACATCCACATATGTGCCCCCGCCCCAAAGAAAAAGCACCACCCTTACCAGCGGAGTTTGTAGATCCGCTCTTGATCAGAAATGGGATTATCGTCCGGGTCGATGAGTCTGGGGAGTAGTTTCGTGGCAACGAGAGCAAGAATCCGTCTTCTTGGTGATTTCATAGGGCTCCATCAAATGCATGGACCTGTATGCCAGTTTGCTGTCTGTTCCAAGCATCCCAGGTGGAGTTTTTGATTGGTAGTCAATGAGTGCGGGGCACAACTGAACCTCATTGGACACCCTGTTTATTTGTTAGATGTCGACATTAACATGGTAGCGGCAGTCAAGCGCAAAAAGAAAAAGAAAAACACAGGAGAGGTGTGCAACACGACATTAGCATGAGGTCCTAGCGGCAGTCAAGCGCAAAAAGGGAAACAGGAGAGGTGTGCCAAAAAATAACACAAACACATGAGGCAGTTTGGTAGTTGCAGCCATCGCATCCATCTCTCAGGTGGCTCCCAGTGGCATGGTTTTAGATGCCGTCCGGCTCCTGAAGGCCGTCGGCGTCGGCTTCCGTTCGGTTTTTCGTCTCCTTCGATGGGCTGCGGCTCGCAGTGGGCTGTGGTGGTCAAAACTGTTTTGGGATCAACCACTTTGGGTGGGATAGGTGAATTCACCCATTTTAGTTTTCCTGTTTTAGTGGTTGGATTGGTGGATGTTCACTGGGGTAGGATTTGGATTTTGACCCATGGCCAGATGGGAGCCGTCTAGTTGCTGGACCATTTGGTGAGTTCCGTGTTCGGAGGGTAGCGCCCTTGGTGCTTTTACATGGAAACCAGTTGAATGAGCGGTCAGGCCCCCCGTTTCAGAGGATGGTCATGCCTCCGTTCCGCAAGTGCACGATGGCAGACTGTTGGGCATTCTGTTTTCGCGGGTTTGCGGCTGGGGGTTGGGGAAGAAAGGAGCACATGTGCCTAGAGACCTTGCGATGCGTTCGGATCCCAGCAAAGTGAGCGCTGAGTCGCCTGAGAGTCGTAGTTTGTGGGGCAGGGTGGGCTCCGAGGTCCTGCCACCTGGGTGCGTTTCTTTTTGTTTGCTCGGCATGTGGGTTCAGGTGGGTGCAAAACGGGGGGCAACAACAGGAAGACCGAAATCCGTTGGTGTGGGGTACACTCCCTGGAATTAAACAGGAAGCTCCGTTTTTTTTTTTACAGGTTATTCGAAAAAAAACAGGCTTTTGATAAATGCTAACATAGAAGTCCCTGGTTTTTTTTGGTCGGCTTCCGCATTTCAGAACACGCAGCTGACTTCCGACGATGGTTTGGGCAACGGCTCCCTCAAACCCTCAAAAACCCTAAGCCCCCCCCGAACACAAACCGAACTCCCCCCACACCCATTCCAGAACTGGCCCAGAACCCCACCTACGTACGCCGTACAACTGGGCATGTGGGGGTGAGATTGACTCGGAAACAGCATTTTTTAGCATTAGCGGGCGGACACACCGTCGTTCCTCCTCGTTTTTTCTCTGTGGTGAACCTGGTCCGCGAGGTCACGTGGCATGAGACCCGGCGCCTCAGAGCAAGAACCCGCGGATCGGAGTTCGAGGATTTCTTTGTGGAGTTGGGGGGTAATGATAAGAACTCCGGATGAACAACCTGGTTGATTGATAGGGGGGTGTTCCCAAGTGGAAGCTCATGGCTTTTGGACCTTTGGAGGGAGGTAAACCCCCCTAGTAGAGGTTGATTCGTCCGCACACCCCCCCAATTTCTCGGACCTCCAAACCCATGAAGACGGCACCTGGGCTTTGGCCAGGCCAACCAGCTGCCGGTTGTGGTCTTTAAGCTGCAGGTGGGGCGCCCAGCGTGCGGCTCCGCGAGCTGAGGGGAACCCTGTGGTGTCTGGCGGATAAGGAAGATGCGAAGATATGGGTATGGGTCAAAAATAAACCACCAAGGGACCGCAGGTTTTGTCCTTGGTTCCATTTACCAGGGTTCCCCGCATTTGGGCACCTATTTTTGACCCACAGCCATGTAAGGCGAGTAGAAAGCGTCTGGCCAGAAGTTTCAAGCTTCTATGCCATAGTCCCACACTCGTGAAACAGATGGTTTTTGGATGTACCCTTTGAGCGGCCTGTCGCTTTTCTTGTTTTTTTCTCCCCCTTGGCCGGAAGCCCTTGGGATGCACTCGGCTTGACACTCCAGGCTCGGAAAACACAGGCGCAGCCCGCTCTCAGGCGGCCTGCAACGTTCTTAGCATTGCCTACGGCCTGCAAATCTCCAATGCGGCAGTGCTCATGACGAACATGTTCGGCTCTTGCCTCGGGATGTTCGCGACGGGATGTTTGCTGCGGTCGTGTCACGGCACTACGCTCCCACCTAGAAGCTGCGAGGTTTCTGTTTCAGGTTTCGATTCCTTTCAACGAAGCCTTTTGGTGGGTTCCATGCGCGTGGGATTCTCTTCAGAAGTGAGAAACATAGAGCATCCCGGTATGTTCATTGTGGATCGTTTGCGTGTTTGTCTAACATCCTCATCGATAGCTGTTGCTTGCCAGTTCGGGACGAAGTGCCATGACCACACTCAACTCACTCCTATTGCCAATTTAGTAGAACCACGAACATGGATTGGGGTCGGGGTCACTGTTTGGGGGGGCTTCGATTTCGCTTGCGAATGTGTGGAGATTGTGGAGAGTAGGCGGTTCTACTACATGGTTTCAATTGGGGCGATAGCAACGCCTGCACAAACCTTTGTGACTATGTTAGCAGAACCAAAAGTCAATGGGTTTGGGCGCCGCTTAGCCTAGGGAGCTGCCTAGATGCCTGTAGGCACCTCCTTGGCCGCCGCTGTTTGGTTGTAAACGGGGGTTATTTTGGGACGAAGGCCACCACCTCCACACTCAAGCGATATTGACAACCCCGCAAAGCTCTATCGGCCAGGTCGAGGGAAGCGACGTGCCAAGGTCTCGCTTGCCAAGTGCTGTTCCTTGCCGGGGACCACTACGCGCTCTTCCGGCGAGCTTTGCGTCGAGACATCCGCGGAGTCGTTCAATGGCTCCCCCCAATTGTATTTATCCCTTCTCTTTGTTTTCAATAGGGTACTGTCCACAAAGTGTTCTTTCAGAGATGAAATTCATTTCCATGCTATGCTTTCCACCCAGGTAGTTTGAGCAGAGACTTTGAAAGAGCGGTTTGGGGAACCATTGCCCAGGAGCAACTTAGGCTTATCGGCAACCAGTCTGAAACAATTGGGGTCCAACGAGATGTCCCTTGTGGTTTAAGCATCGGGCGGCTCTCCTTTTGGGGAGTCTTTGCTAGGGGCCAAATGGACCAAGGAGAACCCACAGGGTTAGGGAACGGAAATGAGGGTGGACCCTGAGGTGTAGAAAAGGGGAACGGAAAGCACGACTGCGGGCACGCGGCCAAGATAGAAGATACTTGTCCAACAGCTTGCTTGTTGAGTTGGTGGGTTAGTCGGCTGGTGGAGCTGGTCTATTCCGGATCACTGCCAAAACCTGACGGACCATTGAAAGAAGCCAAGGGTTCGGGAAGATGATTCCCACTCTGCCAGAGTTCCCGAATTTATCCGCATCAAACGGTAGCTTCACAAAGCCTCAACCTCTCAGATCAGGTACTGGGTCCCCCTCAAGTTGCGGTTTGGAGACTGGTGGTTTGGGGTTTGAACTCCAACTGGGAGGCGACGTTTTTTTGTTTTTTGTTTTGCTAGGAGTGGCTCGCAGCTTAGCAAGGGGTCCAAGGCTGGTTGGTCGGTTGGTGGTTGGTTGGGTTGGCGGGTTGGTTGGCAGAGTGCCGTGACAGGGGTGGGTCAACATCCCTAGTATCACCGGGCTCAGTCTCCCCCTGATCTGTTGCCACCGCAAGACAGGCTTGCGGTTTGGGGCAACACGCCAAAACCAGGCGCAAACCAGCAACAAATACAAACAACACCGCCCCGACAGCGAGAGTAAGCACAGCTGAAACAAGCCCCAAAGCCTGACACAAGCCAGCCCGAAGCCACCCCCCAAGTTTACCCAAGTTCAACCACAACTAATGCCAAGTGGTGGTCAGAGGTGGTCACTCCCCAGCTAGCCCCAAACGAACCAAAAACCAACCCTGACAAAGCTTTAAAACCGTCTAAAGCATACCCTATTCCTGCCGCAAGAACTTAAGCGGCTTGAAACCAGCCCTGCAACGCAGCATGGGGCTCACGCCTGTCTTGCGGTGGCAACAGATCAGGGGGAGACTGAGCCCGGTGGTGCTAGGGATGTTGCCCTCCACCCGCCCTCCTCTCTTGGTCACAGTCAGTCACGCACTTGGGTGATCAAAGTGGACGCTCCGGCCAGGTCAGTTGACAGCCAATGGCTCTTTTTTGCGCTCAAGATCTCGGTGCTGATCGATGTCGGCATCCTTTGCGCGAGCTCCTACGCGCCAGCCCCGGTGTGATGGGCCGCGATACACTTCAAGGGGTCAAAACAAAGCAAGGGGAGTAGCCACCTGCTTCAGGGGTGATTCGCGTGCTGAGCATGATCTCACGAAATCATGTTCACCACCTGTACCCTGGATAGCGGCCCCGTTCCCATCGCTTCAGCACTGGCATCTTCAAGCTTGTTTCATATGTTAGGGCGCGGCTAAACTAGGAAACAGCATCTGAACATAAAGCCCAGATGTGAGCCATTAGCAGTCACAAAAGGCCACTGTCTTCGCAGCATCAGCGTGACCTCAGGGGCAATGAGTCATCAGCTATCACACGAATGTCACTTGCGTTTCTGAGGTGCCCATGAATATCCTCGGCCAATGCATCACCGTTTCTGAGCTGAGATTCCGTGCTGGCAAGATGTGCAAGTATGGCCAAGACGTCAGGCAAGCTCTGGAAACCTGCTTGGGATTGTTGCAAGCCCTCATAGACATTTGAGGCACTAAAGACATGAGTCGTCCGTTTCGTCTGTCAAGGAGCCTCAGTCCATCCATCGTCCATCCGTTGCCAGTGCTTCAGGTGTTCGGTTGAAGACTCACGCCAGCGGCGTGCGCCCAGGTTTGCAACGTCGGCCTTTATTCGCACGGACCTCATGGGGAGGGGTGGTTCACAAGGAAGCCTCTGAGGAACAGCTGAGAATTGGAGGGGCCGCCCTTTTGAAGCATCGCGCGATCCAAGGTGTCCGCTGATGAACATGGGCAACCTTTTGCGTACCAGAAACAGCAGCGCCCTCCCCGCCTTCATGCCTCGCCAGCTTTCTTGTGGGAGTCAGATGGGCCGGATGGGTGGAGAACTGCCGGATCCAGCCGGATCCGTATGCAGTGTTTCTCGGATTTGTCCCATCCCTGATCTTGAACATTTGGCCAACTGAGATTTGCCCTCAGTTGAACCTTCCAGTTTCCAGTGGTCGATTCCTGTGCAATTCTTTGAACAACCATTCTTTTAAAGAACCGATCGCTGTTTCCCATGGGTTTAACTGATGGTTTCCTGAAAAGAAGAGATTCGAACCCATGGGTTCAGACCGGAAGCTTCCACCCCTAGAAACCTCACCGGAGCTGTCCTGGAAAGCACATTTGGCCCCGAAGGGGCAGCCTATGCCCTTCAAAGGGTCCAAAACCAGAGCATCTTGGGCCATCCAAGATGGCGGGTCTCCTCTCGGTTTTATTTGCTTCAAGCCTTGCATTGAGTGTCTTTTGCGTGGCTCGGGGCCACTTGTCAGGTGGTAAGGCCCAACTGAAATCCGCATTGGTTCCAAATCCCTACTCCGACACAGCCCCAAATAGAGGTTTCCACTCCAGGACAATGCGTTTGGGAAAAGAGCCTAGACCGGTCCAAAGCCGATTGGCCAACGGGAATGCGACTGCAGTCCTACTGGGCTTGTCTCAAAACCCGGAATCTTCATTGCGTTGTTTCTTGCTTCCTCTCCCACCAACCCCAACTAGGGTACCTCCAAAAAAAGTACACCATCCCCGGTGGTTGTTTGTGGGGTGTGTGCTGAGCTTCCCAGGGTTTCGATGGACGTTGCGAGTGGGAAGTCACTCAGTTCTGAGAAGACGTGGGCGAGCAAATGATGGGCTTATTTCGTTGTGAAGTTCGGTATGTGAACAACTGGTTTGAGGTTTGAGCAACAATGATGCACGCTGAAAGGGAAACGGACACCGCATTTGAGAAATCCATGGAGCGTGAATTTGAGCAATGAAAATCCAATGGACGCTGAAAGGGAAGCCCAAACCGCATCAGCATACAACTTTTGGCTTGGAGTTGCCACGTCGGCCTGCAAGCCCCCTGTCGTGTCGCTTGCTGCGCGACAGGGTGGGCATCAACGTGCTGAACAATGCGCCTAGGATGCGACAAAAAAGCCTAGGGCGCGGCGTCGCTTTGAATAAACGGGGCCCGGTACCCCTGCAAGGTGATTTGGGCACGTTTTTTTTTGTTCGAGGAACTGTCGTTTTCCGGGTTTGGAAGGGAAGCCAATAGAACAACAACGATTTTGGAGGTTCACTTAAAAGGAGAGACACACCATTTGTCTGGAACCCCAAACCAGAAGAGGCGATGTTTCTGAAGCATTGATGCGGGCTCCATGTTTGGAGGGCATATTCATTTGGCTCAGACATATTTCACCGAACCGTGTTGCTTTGCGGACCGGTCCGCAACCCCCTGTTGAAGATTCGGGGTAGTCAGCAAAAAGGTGACCCAACCAAGAACCGTGCAACATAGGGGTCCCTCCAAATGTGATTCGATTCCCCACCCACTAAAGCGAGACCCCCCGATGAAATCAAGCATGGGTTCCTGCTTAATCCGGGGTTCCATTACCACACTCAGGAGCATGGTTGTGGAAAACTGGGTTGTTGGTGTATGTTCTGTGCTGCCAAGGGAACCCAGTTCAACCCGGCAACGTAATCATAGGGATGGCCCACTTTGGTTTAACAGAAAGGGCCATGGGCCATTTCCCACAAACACACCTCACTTCTCCAAGTCAATTTTTCGACCTTTGCTTTTCCCCCGTTGAACCTGTTTTTTAGTCTTTGGTTCCAAAAGCTTCATGGCTGTGGCTCAAAAAGCCGGAATTCCAAAATGGGTTGCCCTGGTACGTGGAAACATGGGCCAACACCTGCGGTTTGCCCCTCCGATCGTTTAATTTTGAGAACCACACCCTGATCATCTATGTCGGGGTTTTAGGGCAAATGAGACACTGGAACTGGCTCGTGCATTCGAGGCGCTCTGGAGCCTCTATGCCCTTCTCATTGAGGCGCGACTCCGCGCATTTGTGGCCGAAACACCGGCCTTGTCTGCCCCTTTCTGCTGTTTGTGGGGTGGTTTTTCTGGCCAACCATGAGGAAACCGCCATTTCGAAGGGAGTTCCCTCAGGTTTGGTTTGCCTGGGGGGCAAATTCACGGCTTGCATCCAGTTCTGTCGATTGGCTCAGGACATGGTGGTGCTGGTTCCAAGCTTGCTGGGCTACTGCTGCTCCTTCTTCCAGGCGCGACCGATTCGGGAGGCATTGGGTGGGTTCGGGTTAGTTTGCCGTGAGATGCCCTTGTTTTAGAGGCATGCAGACCGAACTTTAGAAACACATGAAACACCAAGCTTTGGAATAGAACTGTAGACACTTTGGAAGTGCCAGATCTGTAGAAGGAACTGTGGACACTTTAGAAGTACCAAACCTTTAGAAGCACAGAAATACATTGTTCACTTTGCAAGCACGCCCAAGAAGTGAAAAGTTTGACCCTGCGAACCGACCCGGTTCGCGGCTCTTAGCCTTCTCCAATTCGCTCAGATCATGCTCATCCTCTGGCCGGGGGCCTTCAGAGATTCCTCGGGTGGGTGCGGCGGGTTGGCGTAGGCGCATGGCCTAAGGAGGACATGAGCCATAATCGAAGGTCAGTAAGAGACAATCCCAACCAGAAGTAGCTGCGGATATCCGCCTTTGTGGTTCTTCACATTCTGGGTAGACCATTTTAAATACCGGGTTTTGATTGTGACTCACATGGGGCCCGGGAGCGCCCAAATGTCCCACAACCTGGGTCGAGAAGTACTCAAATTTGTCCGGTTTTCCACAAGGGGGGGCTTCGTTCTTTTTTCCTTTTGGTTCCCCTTAAAAAAAGAAGAAAAACAAAACACACACACACACAAAAAGTGGTACCTTTCGCCTCAACCAACAGGAACCACACCGAAAAATCCAGAGCGAATTGTGAATGTTCTTCACACGGTTGACTTCACATGTGCGTCGTCGACGTCTTTCGCAGTCCATGAAACAGACAAATTCTAACCCACAAAACCCTCAACAGAGGAAGCGCACCAGTTTCTGTGGCTGGATGCACTGAACATGGAACTCCTGAAGTTGAATTCGGCGAATGTCGATTCTGTTTTTGGGCTTCCCAAGTTCTACCCAGGAGTTGGTTCCATTCGGGGAAATGACACCAGCCTTGGGGTTTACCCGGGTTTCCTCCGTTTCGGTTTTTGCGGAGGCTGTCTCGCTGCAGGGGAAACCAAATGGCACCAGCCCTGGGGTTGACCGGGTTTCCTCCGTTTCAGTTCTTGTGGAGGCTTTCTCGTTTTAGGGGAAACCACATGAAACCAGCCTTGGGGTTTACCGGGTTCCTTTGGGTTCCCGGCTTTGCCAGGGGTTGCCCACAAACCCTCACTCCCTGACTTTAGTCCACCTCAAAGTTTGATTTGGAGATCCAATGATCCGTGGGGTCTGGGGGCACACGGTGCCCTGCACCCGCCTGAGGTGCCGCCACCTGCTGCCGCAGAACGCCCAGGATTCGGGCGATTTGGAGGGCTGGGGCGTGTTTGTTCGGACAGCGGCGGTTTGAGGATTCCTGAAGCTCCGCCACTGTTTGAACTAAAAAGTCTTCCATGAGTTGCACAGAACCCAAACACTGAAACACCAAGTAAAACACCCAATTACAAGGACTCCCCCCCCCCAAAAAAAAAAAGAAAAGAAAAGAAGATGTCCACAGATCCGTTGGACCAGCAGGGGGCACTAGTGCGGGTCTGCAGACAAACTTTTTCGTGCCGCCGTTCCAAGGGTTGGGAAGGCTGCAGAGAGCACATCGGCGGCTTTGCCATGTCTTGCGGTCGCGTGTCATTTATTTTGAGTAGGCTTTGGGGCTGGTTTTAAGGGGAAACCAAAAGGACACGGGGACCCTCAAGTTTTAAGACGCGCCCAACTGTTCTTTTGGGACCCATCATGAAGAGGTTTCCCCATCAACTTGTGCAATGACTGGGCGCCCGTCAAAGTGGCAGGGAGGGAGTCGAAGCCAGGAGCATTGCTGTATTGCAAATGGCGACTTGTGGCTTTTGCTGATGTCTTCTTGATCTTTTGCAAGGCATCAGGATGATTATTCCAAGTGGCGACTTGTATTACATCAAGAATCAGGATGACTGTTCCAAGTGCTGCTTTGCTTTGATCTTTTTTTTCTCCCTCATTTTCCCAGGCATCCAAATGGGTTCTCCCCCCATGCCAAACAGCGGCCAGCGCGAGGTTTGACCTGAGCTTCCTCCTGACCTTTTTTGCACGGAAGAAGCCGCGACCTCGGGACGCCTTCGCTTGGGGCCTTCGCTTCGGGCCTTCGCTTCGGGGGGCCTTTGGGAGCCGAGGTGCCGAGGTCCCCTGGCGGTTTTTCCGTAAGCGGCGGACCTGTCCCGGCGGGTTTCCCCGTTTGTTTGATGGCAATTGAGCGGGTAAGGGCTTGACGCAGCGACTTTTTGTGCCGATTTCGTAGGGTAGAAGCCCTGGGGGTGTCAGCCAGCGGCTGGGCCCCCAACAGAATGCTATGGTGGACGAAGTGACTGGAGTCTCCATGACCCTTAAAAAATGGGGTCATTACCCAAAATAAAGAAGTCATAAACCCATTTTAAAAGGGTCATGGAGACTCCAGGAGGTTGCTATTGACTGAATTTGCTCCGAAGGAACTCAGCGAGTTCACCAAGCGGCCCAGAGAGTCTTTCGGGTTCGAAGAAGACATCTGAACTTTCTGAGGAAGACCAAGAAGCTATTCCCCAATAAATGGGTGTGTTGATTTTCTTTTTTTCCTTCTTTTGTTTTTCCTTTGTTTTTCCTTTTTTTTTTTTTTAATTTTATTTTTGTTTTTTTATCTCCTTTTTTCGAGTACTTTTTTGTTTTGTTTTTCAGGGGACCCCAAAAGGGAAACCACCATTTTTGTTTTTGCGGGGTCCGCTAAAAAAAGACACACACACACACACCCAATCTTAGTTGGAAGCAGCAGGGTCTTTTCAACTTCTCCAAAGGCTCCTTTGCGAGATGGGCCTTTTCACCATCCCCACGTCAGTGCGCCCGTGGGGTCGTCCGTTCGGCATTGGGGCGGCCTCAAAGGGACTCCTAAAAGAACGCCACCGATTTGTGTTAAGTGGTCAGGTTTCCGGTGATATTCCTAATCTATAGGACCTCAAGTTCCTAAGGACTCAAGTTGTGATTCCCTTCGTTTCATTCCAGGCATCTTGAAGTTGGCTTCAAAGCCTTCACTGCCTTCTGGACACCTTCCCTAAGACTTGTGATCGCGTCAACCGCGAGGCCGGACGCCAGCCCGGAGCTCGATCACGAGGACGCCGGGAGTCCGCGGGCCAGTGGCTGTGTGATTTTTGTGAGGCAAAAGGCGGGCCCTTGGGCCCTTGGTTTGGATTTTAGGGACCGCTGAACCGAGAAGGAAAGCCACCAGTTACGGAGTCTCCCATTTTAGTGCCGCAGTCGAACGAAGAAAGTTCTCTGGGGATGGTCATCAACTCCTCACCTTCAGACCGATGTAAAGGTTCCTGCCAAGAAACAATGACCATGCCCCACATGGCGGAGTTCTGATCACACATATGAGCTTGTCTCAAAATAGGAATCGGACTCCCAAACGGTTAAATTCCTTTTTGTCGCCCTTCCAAAAACCAACAAACTTATTTTTCCAAACAGCCATTCATATTGCGAATGGTCCCATTGGGGCCATAGTTTGAAGTCGATACATCTTGGCACATCGAGACTTCCAAGCCTTCCAAATCGCCAACTGCCTCATGATCATCGAAGAGCACTGCGTGTACTCTATTTCGCCCCTGATATCACTCCGGCCGCGGAATGGATCCAATGCCCTAAGGCCGGAACTCTGTCTGAGCATGCCCTGCAATTTGCCCTCCGGCTGTTTTGGGGTAGGCGAATTCACCCATTTTAGAACCTATTTTAGTGGATGGATTGCGATGTTCACTGGGGGTGCGGTTTAGGATTTTGACCCATGGCCCTCCGTCGCCATCGCCATTCGGTCACTGCGCCTTGTTGAGCGATGGGCATCACTTTACAGGGGATTCCCTTGGCGGGGGTGTCACTGAACAATGTCATCACTTTGCAGGGGATTCCCTCGGGGGAAGGGGGGGCACCGAAAATATTGTCATTAAAGGGATTCCCTTTCGGAGTCCCTCGGGGGGGTGTCACCGAAATTTTGTCACTCTACCTGGGATTTCCTTGGGCGGTTCACCGAACATGGCGACTTGACACGTGTCCCACATGGCTCAGCCCTTCGCAGGAGGGCTTGCTGTGACGTGCTGGCTGATGCCCAAAGGATCCTCGCACGGCACAAAAAAAGGCCAAGAGGCTTGATTGGTCATGTGGTGGTGGGTCAAAAATAGTTACCCAAAATGGAACCCTGGTGAGTTGTAACATAGACCAAAACCTGTGGTACCCTGGTGGTTTAATTTTGACCCATACCCATGTCATGGTCTTGAGATGGGTGTGGTTGGACCCCCCTTGCAAACAAATTGCTGGTTTACGTTTTGGTTCCCTTTAACACCGCCTCAAAATGGCCTTCTGCCAAAAAGGACACACCCGAGTATCCACTCCATTCATTTGGGAGGGACAAGGGACCCGGGATCCCCGGAATTGCAACCCACAAGCACCAGGCGAAGCCTCTCTAGATTTACACATGAGGGACGGGGCAAGATAGGGTTTGCCTCAAAATAGTCTCCGTTTGAAACCATCCAATAGAAGGTTCCTTCAATCAAAGAGACACCAAATTTTGCAACCTTTCACAGTGCCAGGCAGAGTCTGCAGAGTCTGCATGCCTTTTTGTGCGAGCTGGCTCTCAGCATAGGGAGCAGTGCATGCTTGGGCCGCAAGCCAGGAAGACCATGACTATCACGCTTAGGCTTGTCTCAAGCCGAGCCAGAGTGAGCCTAAATGGTCCCTGCAATGATGCACTCACTCTACCTTACCAGTGAGCAGTGAGACACATGAACATGATTTTGACTCAATATTCATGAACAACCGATTGGATGGTGGCCTTTTTAGGTTAGACATAGATTGGTTCCAGTGGTTTAGATTGGCTTCATTCCGATGACCAGCAAACCCACCATTTTTTTAAAAAGGCCAGCTGACAGGTAGACCTCAGAAGCCAACCTGGGACTTCATGAAACGCGGAGATGTGGCAGCTGGTGACGAGTGTGCCGAGTGCGGGAGGGTTTTGGAGATTGGCGGTTTAGTATGGAGCAAGCGTCAAAGGTAAATTGACCGAACGTTGGACTCTTAACTTCGCTGTTCTTGGCATGCTTTTTGGTTTCTTAGTTTTTTGGTTCTGTTCATTTTTACCGGGGGGGTCTGCAAAAAACAAGGTTTTGTGCTACCATGCCAAGAGTAGAGATGTTAAGAATGGTCTCCTTTGGGCTTCCCATTCCTGAAGGCCGCAAAATTCATTTTGCGAATCCAACACTGGCATGTGCCTTGGCGAGCGGCATGTGACCAATACCGATGCGTTGGTCCGTCAAGAGGATGGGCTTTGGGGCTTCGTAGCCTAAAAGCTCAACCGGGCGCTGAGTCCCATCTCGACTCGTCCAAGGTCTGCGGTTGCCTGAAGGCAGGTTTTGCCAGCTCCCGTCCTTCCCAAGATTCTGTTACAGGCCGTTGAATATGCGGCAGAAGTCCACATGAGTTTATACACCAATTTTGCAGGGATTGACATGAAGCTGCAACGTCACACCCTATTTGCAAGGCAAGCTCGTCTTGAACTCGTCTTGGGACTGGTCTTGGCACGTCTTTATTTTTTCTTGTACTGATTCGGAGCCAAGGCCATAGGGGAGCCATGCAGCCGATTCGTGACTGTTAGTGACTAGTGACTGGCAGGGGCCAACGACAATCCCCATGGCTCCCATTGCTGCTCCAACTCTTTGCGGGGGTTTCTTCTGTTAAGTGGTCCTCCTGTGAATCATTCGGGGAATTCCTTTCCTTTTTGGCAGTTTGTTGCGTCTCAGGTGCTACCGCGCTGCAGAGGAGCGGTGCGAGAGCGGGGCGACGAGGAGGTAGCTGTGTCTCAGATTGGACTTGGACCATGACCCCCAAAAATGGAGGCAGATTCGGTTTTGTTTTGGTGTTTCCCTTAGAAATCGACCCAAATTCGCCCGAAATAAAGAGACGCGAGGGAAGCGGATTTTCTAGGCTTCTTCGTAACGGCCAAGTTTCGGCTCATCCCCGAATCGGGAGCAACTCTCACTCCTTTGGGCCCCAATCCCCCTGGCAACACATGGTGTCGATTCTTTGGAGGCTTGGTACCCTTTTTTGGGGCGGTTAGGGACAGCAAAAGGAAACCAGCCATCTTGAGGCGGAGACACAAGGGACCAAAACGGAAAACAAGCAGGCGACATCGCCTCGCCTGCCCGCTGCCTTGGAGCATTGCTCCACATCCCCTTGAGGTTCAAGCAGTGTACAGGGGCCCAAGCGGTCCAACCGGATGCCTTTCTTGAAAATACTCTTCGAGGTGGGGAAATCAAAGGCAAACAGCAGCCAGCTTGGACATGGTTCGGTTTTGAGGTTCCCACTGCAGCCAACCCAAAGGGGTTTCCCAAAAAAGACACAGCCACATGTTCACCGCTGGACAAACACAACGCCGGACATGGGTTGTGGTTAAAATAGGTTGAATCGGATTCCCCAAAAAAAGGGAGTTGGATCACAGCCCACATCTCCGCGCCCGCGAAGGCGCTCGCGCTCGGGATCTGCTCCCGCGCGTGGCGCGACGCAGCATCCGTGCCTCGGAGCAAAGTTTCGATCGAGAAATTCGCGGCGTTGGGCGAAACGGGGGTTTTCACTCAATGCCGCAACAAAGACCAGGTCCCCCGGTAGTGCCAACTTTTACCGTTTCTTTTTTGGTTGGGAGGGTTCCCCTACTAAAATCTACAGAAAAGAGTTGGTACCCTTGTTCTAACCTCTCTACTGAAACAGCTAGAAGAAGCAGCCTTAAAAAAGGGACCTCGAAGTAGCCTCAACCAAAAATCCACTTAGAAAGGAGCGCAAAGAGGTAGCCTCAACAAGTGGCAGACCTGTCAAGCTGGTCCATGTTGGCCCAGCTTTTTAAGTCTGGGTACCAGAAGGGGTGTCATCATCTTGACAGCATCCCGGGAGTCCGTGACAAGCACTTAGGTGAGAATCACACAGTCCCACCCATCTTGCTGAAAAGTGCCAGCTATTCCACTCATGTGGGTGTGGGTCAAAACTAAACCACTGGGGGACCGCAGGTTTTAGTCCATGTTTCGATTTACCAGGGTTCCCGTTTTGGGTACTGTTTTTTGACCCACAGCCATGTGTCAAACTAGTGGCCGACACCCCCCCCCCAAAAAAAAAAGGTGGCAGACGAGTCCAGTCCTGTTCCATGAGTTGCTCGAGCAGGTTGGGCGCAAAGCGCAACATGGGCAGTCTCCCCCACCCCCACCCCCCCCATCCCCCCCAATTCAGACCCGAATATAAGTTACAAGGCCTTTTTCTGCCTTTCTGCCCCTTTTTTATGGGTCATTGGGGGCCTTGGAGCAAGCCACAGGGGCTGCGGACAATTTTTTGTTTCGGCGCTGCCCGAAGCAAACGGCCGATGCACAGCCAAGCGAGTTTGAGGCACCGGCTTCTTCCCGGATGACGAGGACTTCATCGACCCCGAGGTGGGAACAGTTTTAGAGCAAAACGTGATTCCTGCAACACACCTTACTCCTCAACATGCACTTGAGCATTGATTGGCGCAGTGAAGGTTGATCTAGGTATCAATTGTGGGAAACTTGGAGCTTTGCTTGTGTAAGACTGAAACCAGCCATTATCTGTTTAAATATGTACCACAATAACGAATCATGGAGGCGAACCCGTGGCGCGTGGTTTTGAGCTGGTCGCCGTTGTTGGGGGTGCAAAAAGGAGAGCCAAGAGGAAAAGCGAGATCGCAGGTGTTTTGCGTTGTTTGGGGGGGTCCTGTCCAGTGATATGGGGGCTTCTCACAATAAGAATTGGTCCCGTTAGAACGGTTGGTTTGGTGTTGTTTCCCTCTAAATGCCCACTTAAAGGGGTTCCAGCATTGTGAGAACCTCCCATACGTGCCATGTTGGGGTTGACAGGGATGTTCATCCACCTATAGTAAGGATTCTTGACAATTATCTCTCGCTCAGAATATGAGCGTTGATTGCTGACAAGCTGAGCTCTTCAGAAATGACAACTGCACATATGGGCTTATTTACCCCATTGAAGAAGGCCGTCCAATTGACACAGAGAGCGCAGCCTGACAGCTCATCCGTGCTCCATTGTGGCCAAAAGCAATGAAATTTACATTCAGGGTGAACCCATAGGCGAAACAAAGGGAG